GTTTTACATGGTGAAATGTGACTGATGAAAACTTAGGAGCTTAATCCCACACCAGTTTGACCATGAATAACGAACGTCAGGTGACCAGTTGGACTTTTTGTTTTTCACATTGGACTCAATCGGGAAGAAATCCCATCATACTGCTGCTTAAATGTTCACCACGTCAGAACTTATTCAGCAAATGTGTTTCCATCTCTGCTTCTGTGCGTTAACTCTTACAGGATGGAGGAATTGGTCTTGGCGGAGGTTTGCACTCTCCGAGTGCTTCTTGTTGGTAAATTGTAATAAAATTAGTTTATTTTGGTTTGAATTAAGGTCAACTGATTTGAAAATATAGGTTTAATTCAGTTTAAAGAAATTTGAACAAGTTTAAAACTGTTTAAAATAAGTTAGAATCAGTTTAAGCGAGTTTAAACTGGATTTAATGCAGGTTTAATCAGGTTTTTAGGTCTTAAATCACATCAGCTATAAGGAYGTTTACTGAAACCTCGTCACACATCAGCTGTAAAATGTTTCTGGTTCTGTTGGTAGAGATTTATTCAGACTGTAAAATGTCTGGTTCAGACTGCAGAGCTCAGAAGCGTTCTTTATTAGCAGCAGATAATTGTAGAGAATGCAGAGCTGTGATTGTTTTAGCCAATCAGCTCTAACTGGGATGTTTGATCCCACAGTTTCCTCTTCCAGCTCAGCATGGCGGCTCAGACCGTGCTCTCGGTCGGGGTGTTTCCTGTCGGCGTTTCCCTGACAGACGACACTCAGGGACTCGGCTACATGTCCAGGGACACGTTACCYGCCCCTCAGCTGGTGATGCTGGCCAACGTGGCGGCGGTGGCGGAGGGCGGCGGAGACGCTGACGGAAGTGTGGCGGACGAGAAGGAAATGATGGAGCTGCAGACGGTGGGCTGCAGCTACTCCGACAGCGAGGATGAGAATGTCATCAGGTCAGTCGGTCCCTTCCTGCTCTAACCTGTCAACTCACCTGAGCATCTCGTTAACTCACCTGAGCGTCTCGTTAACTCACCTGAGCATCTGCACAGGTACAGCTACGACAACCAGAACAACCGGGAAGTTTGCATCGTCGAGTATCCGGAGTCTCCGAACCCGGCCATCGAGCTTGCCGCCAGCGGAGACTACAGAGGTGATGATGATGATGAAGARCACGCAGCCGAAGCAGTCCCCTCGAAGCCCCGCCCCTCCACCTGCACCGACGCACCTGAGCCGAGCGCCGCTCCTGCGGTCGCGGCCCCGGCTGCCGCAGACGGGGCGCAGAAGAAGAAGCCGCTGCGCTGCAAGCCGTGCCACTTCCAGGCGCAGAACGAGCAGGAGTTCCTGGACCACCTGAGCACGCACAGCCTCAGCAAGATGATGGTGGTCCACCAGGTGGAGGGGCGGAGCAAGAGCAAGGCCGCGGAGACGGAAACACCTGAGGCCCAGGCTCAGACGGGCGAGGGCAGCGGCGAGGCGGCGGCGGGAGACGTCAAAGGGCTGATCAGGTGCGAGCGCTGCGGCTACAACACCAACCGCTACGACCACTACATCGCTCACCTGAAGCACCACAGCAAGGAGGGCGACRACCACAGGTAAGCCTCACCTGCACCTGCACACCTGCTGGCTGTGGGATCAATCCTGTGCCAGCAGGAAGTGAATTTGAATTGCTCAGATTGAATCTGAATGTGCAGAATTTGAAACTGAATTTAAAGTTTTGTATCTGAATTRATTTGCTTTGAAACTGTATTTTGGTTTATTAAAAATTCAGTTTGACTACTTTCACTTTCAGTCCCATAATTCAGATTTTTGTGTCACATCCTGGYCCTTGAGAAAGCCAGGCAGAGTAATCAAACACAGATCCACAGATTTACCAGGCATCCCGCAGATCCTTAAAAAGCATTAAAAGAATGAAGATGAATTCAAGGCCTTTTAAGACTTTTTAAGGATCTGCAGGATGCCTGGTAAATCTGTCGATCTGTGTTTGATTACTCTGCCTGGCTTTCTCAAGGACCAGGATGTGACACAAAAATCTGAATTATGGAACTGAAAGTGAAAGTAGTCAAACTGAATTTTTAATAAACCAAAATACAGTTTCAAAGCAAATTAATTCAGATGCAAAACTTTAAATTCAATTTCAAAATTTTAAATTCAGTTTCAATTTAATGAAATTTATTTTCAAACCAGTGAATTGAATTTCTAATTACACACATTCAGATTCAATCTGAGCAATTCAGATTCACTTCCTGCTGGCACAAGGTTGATCCCATAGTTGGCCTGCAGGTGTGTAACTGTGAGCTCACCTGTGCAGGGTGTTTAAGTGCACGCTGTGCCCGTACACCACCGTCAGCCAGTACCACTGGAGGAAACACCTGAGGAACCACTTCCCCAGCAAGCTGCACACCTGCAGCCAGTGCTCCTACTTCTCCGACCGCAAGAGCAACTACATCCAGCACATCCGCACACACACAGGTACACACCTGTCCCAGCCGTGTCCCCACCTGTCTGTCCCTGTCTGCACCTGTCCATCCCTCAGCTCTCAGGTGTGTCCGGTGTCATGACGTGCCGTTTGTTTTGGACAGGTGTGCGTCCGTTCCAGTGTCTGTTCTGCGACTACTCCAGCTCCCAGAAGACTCACCTGACCCGACACATGAGGACTCACTCAGGTGAGTGTGTGGAGACAGGTGTGACGGGTTCATAGGACCCGGGACACCTGAGGTTGGTGTGTGTGTATGTTTAACACGTGGAGTGTGTTTGTGTGTTGGTTCATAGCAGATGACATTTAATCAGTTGTTGATTGCCAGTTAGACCTGGTGATGTCACTTCCTGCAGCTGATAGTAGGCACCTGGTCTGACACCTCTTCTCTTCAGGGATGTTTACAATTCTTCTTCCATGCAGGTGTCTTGATGGTGGTAAGTTAAGCATAGCTGCTTGGCTAATGTAGATGTCAACTTTAGGTCAACTTAAACCCAAACTCCTGAATAAAAAGTGTTTCTTTGTTTTGCTGGACAACAAAGTTGTAACATTAGACATTAGCTGATAAATATTTACTTCAGCGATTAAATACCAACTGTAATAATGCTGTAGGTTGGTTGGTTTTTATACATTTTTAAAAAAGATGTTTTTTATGCTGCAAAACAATGAGTTTTACCGGATCATCTGGTGYGAGGATGTTTCAGCTCGTATCCACCCTGAAGTTTAATTTTGGACAATATCTGTCAATCAAAACTTTTAATGAAACCAGASCACCTCGACTGAGAGGAAAATATAGAAATAACTCCGCCTGAGACTGAAGATGTGACGGAGAACAGAGCTGCTTCCTGTTAGCTCTCACGTTAGCGCCTGAGCTAATACATAAATACATTATATATGGCGATATAGCGTTAGCTCCCAAACTAATAATTTGTTAGCTTGGGAGCTAACGCTCTATATATATATATATTAGGGGTGCAACAATACATGTACCCGTATCGAACCGTATCGAACAATACAGATTTAAAAATTTACTTTATCAAGAAGATGCTCTGTGTTGAAGGATCAGTGGATCTGTGTTCGACTACTCCACCTAGGCTGTATTTTTGAGCTCAGATCCACTGAGAAACTTGCTGTTTCAGCAGCATTTAATTTAAAAACTGTACTTTTGAGTTTAAACATGTTCATAATCAATTTAAATTAATTACAAGTTAAAAGGGGCATTGACATTTCTCTTTTTGTATCAAAAAAATATCGAACCGTGAGACTAAAGTATCGAACCGAACTGTGAATTTTCTGTATCGTTGTACCCCTAATATACAGCGGGTAAAATAAGTACTGAACATGTCACCATTTTTCTCAGTAAATATA